GTGGTTTATGCGTGCCCCTTGTACTTCAAGGACGCAAGATTCGATAGCGGTGCAGTGAGATGACCCAGGCGTCGTTTGGCGAAACGAGTCTTTTAGCAAAAGGGTGGAATTACATGAGACTCGGTGATACGAGTACGGTCCAGCGAGCAGTGAGATTTCGTTGAGGTGTGGGAACCAGATCACTTTCACCTGAGTACGGAATATGCAAATTTTCTGGACCAATTAATTTTAGTCCTTATATTCCTCGCATAAGGACAACAGTGCTAAATCGGTCGGCAACGTGGACAAAGTAATTTACCCTCTTTCAGTCAGGGTAAGTAGTCAGCAACACTGTAACGCAAAATTATTCCAGCTAATCGTCCACCGGGACAGATAGTTTCCAGCTTACCTATCCCACAACACAGTCTTTTACAGAAATTTAGGCAACGTTTACTGATTCGACAACGAATTTGTGGATGGAAAGAAACATGTACGTAGGATTGCAATATTTTCTAACACGGAACATAAGCTTGCGTTCGAGAATGGTGCCAGGCGGCGGGCAAGACTCACCTCTTTCGTAAGACAGCAATGGCTTATAACACATTAACAAGTGAGCGATGGAGACGTCCACCCCACCCTCTATCACGCTGCTCCACGTAATCACTGTCCGGTAAGCCAAGACTTAAGTTGGTTCGTGAAATCCCGAAGGACTACGATTTGCGGGCTCTATTTTGAGGTCGAAGAGCAAAATTATACCCACTAAAATAATGATGTGACGTCGCATTCGAGGGTACTAGCGGCTGTCCCTCGGGATGTCATGACACAAAACGAATGCATGCGACTATTGCATTCTACGTTTACGAAATTTTACCCCCTGAGCTCTGCTATCCTGGAAATACTAAGTAGTTGACGGAGTCGCGGTTTGGAATAACGAATTACGTCCCAAACGTAGAAAGTCATTACCGATTGGGGAGGCCACCGGTTTGCGACGCAGGCAATGGTCACCGCTTGTACGGTTCGATCATGTATTGTAGTAACCGTGGCTAAAAGCGCCCAGGAGTGCAGCCCTCGGAACTCCTGAGCAAAAGCCCACCCTTTTGATTGGTTTAAAAAACTATAATCCGAAGGAGTAAAAAATGAAAACAGACAAGATAACCAGAAGAACAATTTTAAAAAAACAACTAAAAGGTACAAATGGGCGTTACGGGCTTTTCACGAGGAAGAAGAAGAAATGGGCCGATGTTAAAAGGACACCGAGGCAAGAGAAATGTGGGAGAAGACGGCGAATATGGACCAAACCAGGAATTGAGACAGTTTTCAAGTGGAAAAGCAACCTAACTGTCCTTCCAACAAGATGTACTTGCAGCAGACAAACTGACTACAATTAGACCTCGGAGTTCACAGGGACTCCGTAATCGCCTCCATTTTTTCAATCAAGCTGACCTTTTTGGCTCCAATGTCAGCATCGGACGTTTGGTACTGCTGTTTGGTGATTTTACCGGACAGCACTCGTTCTGTTTGGCTTACACCTTCCTGCAGCAGTTCGCGGTAGCGCGAGTCCAAGTTTTGTAGTTCTTGAACCTAGGGAATGATAATAGATATAGCGTAAAACAAGTTTCTAAAACGCCTTTGGTGGTAACTGTTACGTCAATAAAAGGGGGGACAGTGGGGGGAAGTTCGCTGCCTCTGCCGCACGAATGTTCGTTTATGGCGCGTACTAACTAGGATCAGTACATTTACTTGTTAGAAGCTTTTTGAAGGGCTGAACGGTGGAGGCCTGATTAAGCGGTGATACGCAGGTAAGGAACCTCCAAATGCAACGGTATATGGAAATTATACATCATTAGCAGTATGAAAGCAGATTTAAGCACGGACTCAGGATATCACATGTTAAGAAAAGACGTGACAAAAGTTACGCAAAATTTGTTAAGTACTACGGTAGTACACGCTTGCAGATAAAAACGGTGTCACTGGTTATGCAGCATAGTTCTAGGAGAAATAAATTTGGGCCTGGAAGACCGCACTATCTACCATGGCTGTTCAGCTGTACTGCAAGCAAGCAACAATTCAGGCAGGTAGGATACTTAGCCAGTAAAAACTAGCGCCATTCCCCCTCCCCTTCACTTCTACGACAGGGCAGTGTAGAAATTGAACAAATCTCACCTTATCGGCGCCCTCACTCCACAGTTCACGAATCTTGGCATGCAGAGTGCTGATTTTCTGATTGAGAGCCTTATGGTCGTTCTCAACTTTACGGTACTCGTTGGTGAATTGGGAGTTCTCCTTATTCACCTTGTAGGTGCTGACAACATCTTCATAAGTCTGATACAATGCGGACCTTTTGCTGTGACAACTGAGAATTTCATTAACAAGAGCTTGAACACGGAGTTGCGATTCGGAGGACTTGTCCTGCAAAACAAAAGAAGTGAGTTAGGCAGATAACCGAAATCAGTGACGTTAAGGAAAAGGTATGGCTCGTGGATATATCTTTTGTTGAACTCGTTCACCACGGCGTGGATGATGTCCCAAACTATCCACGCCATTGTGAGCTAGGACTCACTGTTCAGTCACAATACAAATAAAACTGCTACT